GGGTTCTGAGAGCCTTGGAAGTGATATTCGTGATCACCGCGAAATTCTCTATCGAATGGTGTATGAAGTGTCGAAAAATAAATTTCACTGCAAGGCTGCCCTGGGTGCATCTTAACTCATTTCAAACAAATCTATAAAAAAAAAACAAAGTTTTGAAAAAATGATCGAGTTAAAGAAAAATGAAATTAACTTTAAATAATTCATGGTAACAGAAACATCATCGTCGCATGAATGATTTATAGAGCCTTAGTCTTCAATATAAAAATGAAGGAAGTTCAAATTTCTCTGCGATGCAACGTAATCTAAAGATAGACATGAGTCACGAAAAATTTTGTAAAGAGAACGAAAGAGAGATGATATCAGTGTATGATGATGGCCGGATTAATTCATTCAGTCCTTTTTAACAGTAGCACACACACACACGCGTATAGATAGATTGAATGCCATACATATATATATGTATGTATATATATACGCTTGAATGAAAATTAATTTAATCAAGAGATAATTATCTTTAACAAACAATCAATATGTTATTTCAATAGATTATAAAAATGACACTAATGGTAAAATAGATAGGAGTCTATTTTTTAATATTAAATAGCACTATGAGAAGGTTTGCTGTCAACATTTGTTTAGATATAAAATTTTTATATCAGCTACGCTTCGTTATATTTAGGAGGGAAGTTGATCGTCCATCCATTTTTTAAATTCAAAAAAAAAAAAAAATAGAGAACTATTTTTAATCAGAAGAACTCAGGATGAAACGGAACATGTCTCCTATGATGAAAAATAATAGCAGAACCATATGGACCATGAATTAATCAAGCGACAACAGTTCACACAGACTATACAATAAAGAAAAACTCAATGTGTTTTATTATTAGCATACTGTATGTATATACAGAGAGAAGCAATTGAAACAGATTTGTCAATAAGGATATGAAATTTCCTGCTTTCAAAAGAGTGTATATTGTCAACTGAATTATCCACCTTTACGTTGATTAAGAGGAAACTTGACCGTATAACAATCGAGAACAGTTAATCATTAGACGGACATGTCTCTCAAACTTTCTCTTATTTTGATTTAAATTTGCAAATCACTTGACACGATGATCTACAAGTAGTAAATAACTTGAAATAAAATATATGCATAAAAAACGATAAATTTTCATCATAGCCAGTGATCTGTTTTATCTAACGAAAAAAAAAACAGAATTGAAGATGAATTCGTGTACCAATTAAACTTTCTTACGACACAACTTCTAATTTAATTGTTACTTTATATCACTGGATAAATTAAATAATAGATTCCAAAAAAGAACAATAGTCTTCTATCGAAACAACAAATTATGAATTTACTCAAAAAAATATATAACAGTAACGATGATTGTTCGCTGATATTAAATTAACTTTGATATCTAATTAGTTCTCGTTATTATTTCTAAAAATTGAAGCTGTCTATTGATATTTCCTCTGTTTTTTCATTGAAACATTACGTAGTCTCGATTAGGGATAGGATAGTTTCAGTTTTGTTCCTTCGAACTATAGAAATTGAAACTGACAACTATTTCTATCAATTGATTCTGTATCCGATGAAGAAAAATCATCAGTTGTCATACCTTTTAATTGTCATACACGAAGTGTTCATCTTTTTTTTTTTGCAGAGTAAAAGAGTCCATTCTTTTGAAGAAAACTATTAGTAATCATTTGACGTTCTTTTGAAAAGAATGAGTGACTCGTTCTTGTTCAAAAGAGCTGAACTGGAACTATATCATCCTTGCCTCAATGAATTATTATCTAATCACATATAAAAGGCATTTTACGAATATTAATATTAAAAATTTTTATTCACATTATTTGTTGTTTACTTTTCTACCATTCATTTAATTAAAAATACACAAATTTGCACTTAAGAGCCATCTTTCCAAATATGTGCAAAGAATTTCCCGGTATTCTCTTCAATATTGTACCATCATAATTTTTAGGCATAAAAGATATTTAGAACATATTCAAGTTTTAGATAGATATAGAAAATATTTTTAATTTCAACTTAACACCATACTGATTTTCGATCAACAATGACAGCATATATTCATCTCTAACATTATTAATCGTTTAATAGTGTCAAGAAACAAGGAGAAGATTTTATGTATTTACAGTAACTAATATTTGTAATTCTTATGTTGGGCTACTAACAAATGATTACCAATTTCGATTATAAAATAATGACGCTTGGATTAAAGTACTTTATTAAAACATATAGAATTAATTTATAAGAAAATTATTTTCGAGAGTCAGCTTTTCATATGCGCTACAATCCGATAACAGTTTTAAATTGCTCGTAAATATATGCTTTTTTTTAAACATATCTCCAAATGTTAATAAGAGATTTACACATCGGATCAGAGCTGGGCCGATCGGGAGGAGAGAGCACCGGACGCCTCCCATCCTGAACATTTTTTCTTGCGTTCTATACACTTTCGAACTGTTGGCCCTCTTCCTCCTTTAATCTTAACCTATTCGGGTTAGTCCTGCATCGAATAATTGTTTATTTTAGATAAGACAATTGAAACACTTACTTCTTCTTCATCATCTTCAATATTTTCACTACCATTATTTCTATTTGTATTTTTAACGATCAATGATGATGTTAAGGAATGTTCACCTTCATTACTTGCAAGCAATGGTAATTGTGTATCAGTTTGTTCTAATTGTAAACGATAGAGTGTACCAATTCTATTTGGATGATCTTTATGATGATGTATATGATAACGATTTGATCTTTTTCTTCTTGTTAATGCTAGACAAATACGAATAATAATGAGTATAAGAATAAGTAGAAAACATAGAATAATAAATAATCCAATAATATTGACTAATGTCAAATCAAAATATGATCGTTGTCTTGATTCATGTAAATCTCTTAAACGTATTGTTTCTAAATATTGTTGTGCTATTTCATAAACTTGTGATTGATTTGTTTGATTATTACCAATTGCAACTATTATTTTAACTCGTTTTTCACATGATTTATCACCATCAATAACAATATCTCGTAATTTAATATCTAATTCATAGAGTTCATTGTACGGTATAGCTATAGCTTTTAAATTAAAAATATTTCGTGCTAGTTTTTCTATTTTAAATAGATCATTAAAATTTAATAGAATCATTTCACAAGTATCATTATCTCCATCAGTAAGTTCAATTGGATTATATAATGCTGTTTGATTCCATTCATCTATATTTATAAAAAAATAAACTGTCTGATTTTTTAATTCAGGACACCAATCATTTCGATTTTGAATATGAATTATTAATGGTACAGTTGTATTCAAACCCTTTCGATCATATGCCATCACGGACATATCATAACGTGTTTGTTGTTCATAATCTATAAAAAGATGAATAATAGCACATTTTTATGGACATATTCAAATAGAGTTGTTAAAATAATTATTTAGATATATTTTGCAAAAGAATTTATTATCTAAGTAAAAATGATCATTTATCAACTTACCAATATGTCCTTTTAAATATAATGTACCATTTAGTGTCAAATAAAATGGCCATTCATTTTCACTGATATCATCTGTTGTTTCATTTAAATAATCAATTTTTTTATTATAAATTAATTTATAATTAATTTGACCATTTTCTCCTTCATCTAAATCTGTTGCATTTATTTGTCCTATAATTATTGTTTGTGTTACTTGTGTTTCTGATACATAAAATTCAAATGTATCATTTAAAAATATAGGTTTATTATCATTAATATCTAGAATATTTATTGTACAATTAACAGTTGATATAAGAGATGGCTGACCATTATCAGAAGCTGATACTTCAAATATAAATTGAGATATTATTTCACGATCAAGTGATTGTTGAACATGAATATCGCCTGTATACTCATTAATATTAAAATAGTCAAATGTTATATTATCATTTGTTAATAGTCGATATGTTAGAAGACCATTCATATTTTGATCTAAATCGGTTGCATGTACAGAGATAATTATACTTCCAACTGAAATATTTTCATGAATATTAACAGTATACGAATCTTGATCAAATATCGGTTCATTATCATTTTCTAAAAAAAAGAAATAAATATAAAATTAAATCAAAATTTATATTAAAAAAAAAATGTTAATTAAACGTACCATCTAAGATTATTAAAGAAAAATTAAATATATTTGTATTTGGTGGTTGTCCATTATCAATAGCAAATAATGATATTTCATAATAATCATTTAATTCACGATCAAATTTCTGATTTGTAAATAGAAAAAATGCTTCATTATTAAATATCTCTTTTGTATAAATTGTATTATTACTATCCAATTTCCAGTTAACACGACCATTTTCACCTTCATCATTATCATTTATTGATATATGACCCTTAAAAAAAAATGAGTGTAAAAATGAAGAGAATGATCATAGATCAAGATTTTTAACCAATGTAATGATAAAAAAGTGTTATGAACCTCTTCATTAACAAAATAGACATCTTTTTTTCTCTTTGTACGTGTCGTATTTTGTTCAATACTGGAAATTTGAGAGACACGAGATTAAGTCGAAAATTTATCCGAAAAAATTTTCTTTTATATCCTAAAAATCTGTTGATAGATAGTTTTTGAGAGTACTTTTAAACAACAGATCAAAAAGAGATATTCTTCTCTCAATATATTACTGATTAAATATAAAAATTTTAGATTATTATTTACCAAAAATGTTCCATTTGGTGCATTTTCTTTTATATAAATTATTTTTGTATTATTTGAATAGACATAGTCAGATTTATATTCAGCAAATTTAATCATAAACAATGGTTTATTATCATTTTCATCTTTTATTGATATATTAACAGTGGCAATTGCTGGCATTGAACCTTGTCCACGATCGGCTGCACGAATTTTTAAACTATAATGTTTTTCAATTTCATAATCTAATAATTGAGCTAATTTTAATTCACCAGTATCTAAATCTAATTTAAATGTTTTATTTGCACTTGGTGGATCAATCGATTGTATTGTATAACGTATTTGACCATTGAGTCCACTATCACCATCAATTGCATGTATTCGAGTTACTAAATTATTAATGGGTGTTAATTCACTTAATTGTACATAAATATCTTTTCGATCCATGATAGGTGAATTATCATTAACACTAGAATATAAATAGAATTTACAATGACATAAATAGAAATAATAATTTTATATTTGAGAAAACTTACTCAATTATTTTAATTATAATTTTCATTCTACCAGATAAAGGAGGTTGACCACCATCCGTTGCTACAAGAGTATATATTAATATATCACATATTTCACGATCGAGTGATTTCATTAAATGTAATGATAATAAATCTTGATGTAATTGAAATGTTCCTTTCATTTTATTTTGTTTATCTTCCACTAGTTTATATCCTTGAATAGAATTATTTCCATAATCACGATCAATGGCTGCATCAAGCGGAATTATATAGCCAACTGGTACATTTTCTAATACTTCAATTTCTTGTTGTTGTTTATCAAATCGTGGTGTATGATCATTTAAATCATCAATAATAATGGATACACCTGTAAAATAGACATCCGAATTTAAACATAATACTTCTAAATTAATTTCACAACGTTCACACGAACACAAACGATTTAAACAGAAATCATCACGATCAATTAATTTTTTTGTTGTTACACGACCCGTAAACGGATCAATAAGAAAATATTGATTTTGATTACGTTGACCATCGATAAAACTAAAACGATTACTATTTGATGATGAATGAGTGGTACTGATAGATGAACATGAATCAAATGGAAATGTATAAACGGCACTACCAATGGGTAAATCTTCCATAATATGAATAGTATCTCTTTTATTGGAATATGTTTGTATGAAAAATATTGACAAAAATAGAAAAGATGGTAACCTGAACATATTGTTTAATATAAATCTAAAATAAAGACATGACACTAATGTCGAATAAGCATAAAAATAAAATCTTCATTTGAAATGAAAAGTATTTCTGATTAATGTCTCTAAGCTAAATAAAACTATGAAAGTTTTCCATAATCCAATGGAGCATAACTATTCCGTCATCATCATAATTAGTAAAATCTTAATTTATATATATTATGGAGAAAGTACTGAATTAAGAATTGTATAAAAACAGTGGGAAGTCTAAAGAGTATTTCTAATGAATCTGTGGAATCTCCAAAAAAGATAATAAATATAGAGATTTCTAGAGTTCTGAGAAACTCAGCAACAAAATTGGTAAAAAAAATATAGAACAGATAATGAAAATTTCATTGGTGAATATGTCGTGCGCACGGAATCAACATATGATTGAAAGATATGTCTGTTCATATGACAAAAATTCGACTTAAAATATCTCTTCAAATGGTTTGTTGATATGTAAAGTTTAAAACAATTAAATCATTCTTCAAAATACCTGCTTTACACTGATGTAAATAAGAAAATTATGGCCTGAGTGAACATTTTCGATTTAAATCTGATTTTCTTCTTATTCTCACTTTAAGCTCTGATCGTCTTCATTCAAGTGAAAGACAAGGAAAGATTTTCAGTTCAAAACATAAAATTGAGATTGAAACCTTAAACATTTTGTACATGAAAGAATGAAGTTCGTAGTCTGTTCTATGTTATCTGCGATTATTTGTTTAGAAATTTATAAAATCTTCAGTTCTGTAATTTCTTCGACGTGTATACAGAGATCAGACTTAGCCAGTGACGGATTTAGTGAGTTGGCGATACTAATAGCCGCCAGCACTAAAAAAGTTTTGATTCCATAGTATCTTGCCCATAGAAACTCATCAATTCTACATGCAAAGTTTTCTAAACTCTGTTTGCGTTTTTAAAGTCCTCCAGTACCGAAAATTTTTTTCTAAATCCATCACTGGACTTACCCCAATTTGTGTGCGTTAAGATAATGCATTAAAAAAAAAAAAAAGAAGAAAATATTGTCATCAATATATGTTCTTGAAAAGAAAAAGAAGAAGAAAGAAAGCGTACAGTATATATATAGTCTTATTATGGCTAGCGTAGAATAGATTAAAATACGTAAAAGAGAGAGAGAAAGAGAATGTCTATCAAATAAGGTGGTTATATATCGTTGAAAGAAAAAAAGGATTTCTCATTACTCATATTGAACACAAGAGAGAAAAAAAGAATATAAACCACTCTGCTATTAATGGAACCATCTCTTTTTCGCTGTTCGTACTCTATATTTATTGTCCAATTTCTTATCCGTTCTGAAACAGATAACTTTTTTTTCTTTTTTTTTTTTTTTTCATTTTCAAGATTGTTTAAAACTGTTGAATCGATTTTTTTTCTTCTTCTTCTCCTTCTCATCATTATAGAAGGTAAAATAAGCCGTTTACTTCTTTTTTTCTACTTGAACAGACTCATTTCCGTGCTTCACATAGAATTAGTAATTGTACTATTAGTTTCTATACTGTTCTAATTCATTTTTTGTTTAAGAAAAAAAAAGAAAAGATTTTGTATCATAATCATCAGCAAGTAAAAGAAAGGAACTACATACGTCAAAAAGAAAAGGAGCACCGGAAAAATTATCATTATAATCATTATTTCTACTTTCGTTCTTTTTTTTTTTTCTAAAAGTAAAAATTGTACAAATTATGACAATTATAGAAAGCAAATATATTAAAAGAACATCAGTTTGAAAATGAATAGTCACTTATAACATCAGTCATTAGTATAATGAAAAGGATCGATGTATGTTGAGAACAAATCTACATTCATCTATTCATACTTAATTGTAAAGAAATTTTTATGATTTAGCGTTGGAAAATCTACTTAAGATAACGATAGTATTCTAAAAATATGTAAGAGCTCGTCTCTCTTAGCACAAGATTTAGTAGTCATTTTGAAAAATTCTTTTACAAATATCCAAAAACGTTTAAGAGTTCGTCAGAATTCTATATAATTCTATATAATGACACTTTTCTTAGCGGTATTGGAAATCTCTTTTGAATTTTTTAGTCATTTATAAAGTGTCACTATATGAAACCATGGAGGACTAAACTGTTTTGAATATTTAGTTTCTTTTTCACTATTTTTGTTTTAAACATGAAATTTATTGGTTTTATGTTGACTTTCGTTTGAGCGTGATAGAATATATCCATTACTAGAGACACACTCAGAACAATGTTTAGATAAACTTAACAGTTAAATAATTAACTGATGAATAGAAATTAAGTTAGTCTTTGTAGACTCTTTTATTGTCATACTAACTGAACTTTTGAAATAAATCGTCTCTTTTTTTCCGAATGTAACTCTACATTTTATTCACTTTTAATGTAAGATCTCTCTCTCTCTCTCTCTCTCTCTTAAAGACAAATTTCAACCTTCTCATGACATGATATTGTTAAATTTATTCATTGAAGTAGACTTCCTAATAAATTTTTATTTATGTATTTTGGTTCTAATGATTTGTAATTGTTTATAATATACAGTCATGCTCTATTATAGACATGAAGAGAAGAAATGTTGATCCATTAACACTATCATCAACTATCGAGTTAGTAGAATAGATACTGTGTGTATATATTATTTTTCTATGTGTAAAATGATCTATGTCAGAAGACAGTTATTTAAAATTATTGCCAACGTAAATCAAGACAATTATAATTTATAAAAAAAACAAAACAAAGAAGTTCAAATTAGAACACAACATTAGTATAGAATAAAAAGAAAGATATGATGAGTGTTCGTACATATATATATATATATAGACACACAGTAGTAAGTTTTCATTTGAAGTTGACAAAAAAAAAAAGAAAAGAAGTTAAGATTGTCTATAATGTTTTGAGAAATATGAACAAGTTCAAACACATCGTTAATAACAATAGAGATGAATAGATATTGATATTGATTCAACACTTGACGAATAAGTGCAAAAAATTCAAACATATTCATTCACAAGGACAAGTATTATTAGAATATTTAAAATATCCTGTAAGATTAAATGTTTTTGAAGAAGAAGAAGAAGAAAAATAAAGAGGTGAAAAAGACAATAATCAAGAATTTAATTTAATTTTTTATTTAATTGATGTGATGAGAAAATTCACAATAAAATTGTTTTCATTTTAAACGAGATTATTAAGTAAAATAGTCACTTTTTTTCAAACTATAACTCTTCAATTTTTACTCAAATGACTATTTCTTATACACTGTTAACCAGTTATATAAAGCCTTGATGTTGTCTGGCAATAAACTACCTTCAGTTCTACTAGTAACTGACCATTATACTCATTCTAGTACAACCATTTCATTTAATAGCACTAAAAAAAAAAAAAAAAACAGAAGAAAAAAAGAGTGAATGTTGAACTTGTCACAGATGTTTTTTTGTTTTGTTTTTCTTCTTTTTTTTTTTGAAAAGGAGAGATAAACTGCAATTATTGATCAATGTTCAGCGTGTATATATATTGCATCATCACATATATCTACTTAACTTACGTCAATAAAAGTAAAAACTAGAACAAATATCGATAACAAGAAAACGTAATAAAAATCAAATATCTAAAATAGTTAAAGCACACAAAAACTGATTATATTAGTTGATAAAATAATTATTTCCGTTTTTCCAAAAAAAAAAAAATTTAGTGAGACTAATTCTCTTATCACGTTTTTTTAATACAAAGTTGAAACAGTAAAAAAAAAAAAAAAATAGGATAAATTTTTTGAGTTAGACATGAATTTTTCCTATATTCCCTATTTTATATATCTAAATCTATTTTACTGGAAAAATTAATGAGGTGACTATTCTATTTCCATTTTTTTAAATTATATTACAACATAATTTTAAATTAAAATTTTTTCTCTTCTTCCTCTTGTTCTTCTGAATGACATATATCTCATTGTAATGAAAACGTACGGTTTTAATCAATTGTCGAAAGAAAGTGTTTAACAAGGCGTGTAAACTTTCCTTCAGAGTGAACAAATGAAAAAAAATTTTTTTTTTTTCCATCATAATTCTACATTATATTTTTTCCCGTATAAATTAAATTTCTTACATAATATGAGAAAGAAGAAAAAAAAAAAAAAGAAGAGAATTATCTGGTCTACTCGTTTTTACTTTCATTTTTGGAAAAAAAAAAATCATAAATTTGGCTACTTTTTTGTTTTGTTTTTTGTTACTAATTATAGCACGTTTAAGAACTTTAACGTTTCAATTACTAAATTTTTAACGTAGAAAAAAGGAAAAAATGTGAAAAGATTTTATATTAGATACTACCATTGGAATAAAAGTGACATATGAACGACAAATATGTGTATCAGATAATACAATTTATGAAGATGATCGACGAAAAGAATGGTGAAGGATATTTTTCTAAATCTAAATTCAAATTTTTCTATAACTTTCATATTTCTAGATCTTAATAAATCTTGCATTCATAATATATATGAAATTATTAAAATATGACACTCTTGTCTTTAAACAACACATGCTCTTGTGAATTTATACTTTACTTAATATGATACTTATTTTTCTTATTTATTTGACTTTTCATAGTGACAAGATGATGCTTCACTATTTCATTTTACATCAAAAGAAGAAGAAGATCATTCCATTTATTCGACTAAGATATAATTCAATTAGAGTAAAGATCGTAAAAACATGCATTAGGGTTTGAAGAAAAGAGTTTCATATTTAAAAATTTTACATATCACGAACGTGAGATTAAATAAGATCTAAAAATATGACATTATAGAAAACATTGGATAAATAGAATCGACTATGGATGGATGAATGCATTTAGATTTAGGAAATGTCTATCATCATTGTGTATGTATGTATGTGTGTGTGTATGTATACTTTTCTCATTTCCCCCGCGGATCGTCTCTTGAGTTTTGAACTTCTAAATTACTTTTTATTAGAATTCAAAATTATATTTACA